TACTTCTGAAAAAGGAGAAAGATATAAAGAAACACATGGCATTGGTGGTAAATAGCTAGGAGAAAGGGAGCTGGGAGGGGGGAAAGAGGGAGGAAGAAGGGGAGGAAGGAAGGAAGGAAGAAAGCAGGCAAGGAAAGAAAGCAGTAAGGAATGAAGGAAGGCAGAAAGGAAAGAAGAAAATAAAGAAGGGAGGGATGGAGTAAAGCAAAAAGAAAGGGAGGAAAAAAGTGAAACAAGGAAAGACAAGAAGAACAGAAAGGCAGACAGAAAGGATTACAGAAGCCAGAAGAAGAACTAGCCTGGAACAAAGCATATGCAAACGAAGAAAATTCCCTGTGGAGATTAATAAAAGTACAAGTTTCATACACCAAGCACTCAGAGGTGAACTATTGAAAGAGTAAATCTTTGTAGAACTGGAAGTCAGAATGGTGAATTATGTGCAACTCACCATAGCTGCGTACATACAAACAAATCACAAATCCTCTGTACACTTTATATTTCCCTTAAAAAGAGAAATGACCAGAGTCATTGATAAGTTGAAAAATTAAAATGAAGCGACCCCCAGAAAGTTGCTAGTGGGGTGGCAGGAGCACGCTGAGTGCTTAGCAGTAGCAGGGTATGAGTCGTGTAATGTGAATGACTGATAGAAGGCAAACCAAGACCTCGATCAGTGTAACTTTGGGGTTCATGCTCTTTTCAACACAATAACTATAAAGATGTAAAAAGCATAGAAAGCATGATTATAAAACGTTCTGCCATCTTCATGGGGCAGCAATGGGTAGGTATGATGACATTTGATGTCACAATCAAGGATCCAAAACAGCAGACTAGAAAACCTAAATGAAAAGAAGATGGATATAATACATTAAATGCTGGGTCCCAATGATCAAACAGAAATTTAAATACTATGTAAATTATAATTTCTCAAGACATTTAGTAACAAGGTAATGGCAATCTCAGTGTGATTTGAGTTAGCATAACGTCATGAAAAGCTAAAACCATCTTGGCTGGATTTAAAGGAGCCATTTCCAGAAGAGAAATGTTAAATTACCATTGAATTTTGGACAATTAAGACCACACCTAGGACATATGGTTCCTTTCTGCACACCACACATTTGTGAGGGGTACTGGCAAATGAGATGTAGCCAGAAGAGGTTTCTGATGTGTTAAAATCTCTAGAAATGACAGCAATAAATGAGCACATTTGTCATAATGTAAATAATGACATCAAATAATTTGAAGAAAAGACAAATAGAAGGATAAATTTGTTTTCCAGGTGTCTGAAGTAACCTAGGATTAGGAGAATAATTTAGGTTTAATATAAGGAAGTATATTCTAATAGTTCATATTATCAAAAGATAAAATTTCCTTTTGTGATGTCTTTATAACTGGATGTGTTCAAAAGGATAAATAGTAATCTCATTGGGTCTATTGTGGAAAGGACTCTTGTTATTATTGGAAGATCAAACTACATGACTTGATTCCTGTTATCATTGTTATAACTAAGGTTCTGTCTCTAAGTGAACATAGTGGCCAGAAATCCTTATAGTTTCTAGACATCCATGGCTCTCTGGAGAAGGGGCATGATGTGGATGCCACTTTTCAAAGGGCAGTAACTTACACAATGGGAGGACCATTGTTGGTGGAAACCATAGCATTAGACTAGACTCCAAATTTCCTAGACCATGGCCACGCAACTTTTTATCTAGAGAGATTCTCTTAATTTCTTTATGATTGTTTGGAAGTAAAAGTATACAGAAAGATAATGGTGACCTTAAAAGTAATTGAGGCTGTGAAGGAAAGGAATTTTGCTATCATTTTCCAATCACAGCCATGTGCCATGAGCTATTGAAAGGGATGATGTCACCACCTTTCTAGAGATTTTTCTTTGTATTAAGTCACCTATGGTGGGCTTGGGGGGACTGGGCTCAGTAGGGTCCCATTAGTTAAGTATAACTGGAGTGTATGATTGCTTTGACATTTATACAAACTAACCTCCTCCTTCCTTCCCATCCATGGGATGCATACAGTCTCCTCGCGGTCACGCTGGTATTTGTACTTATTTCCTGTGATTTCTGAGCTCTAAGTCCTACTCTTCTTTTCTCACCACTCTTTTCTGATGTAGATGTGGAATATAGTCCCCCTTTCTTTTCAGATGCATCTCAGAAAAGAGCTGTGAATGGAGATTTTTGTCACACAGCTGGGAAGATAAAGGATGCTTTCGCAGAGATGCATAGCAAATAACTTAAAGGAAGACAGTGAGCAATCCTTTCTATGAAAAATCTTCTGGCCAGCCTTCCTTTGGGGAGTCCTTGTGGACCACACTTCTACAACCACTGCAGTGTTGTCCAGTTCCCTCCCCTTTCTCTGGTCTTCTCCTTCTCTTTCCGTGATTTATTCCAGACACAAATTCCCATGTTTTACTTAAGCAGAGCAGCTAAACAGCTTCCTTTCTGTCTCCAGCCATTGTGGTTCCACCTGGCCTAGCCTAAGTCCCCCGTCCCAGGACCTTTCTAAACAGGGACATTCTTTCCCTGAGAGGCGTCAAGGTGCCAAAGTGTCACAACATTTTTTTCTACTAATGATTGTGGTTGTCCATATGGGGACTTCTGATAGCTGCATCGTGGCACCCGGACTATTCATGATGGAGGGCAGTGGAGTTAGGTGGAAGAGGTGTGAGATTTGGAGGTGAAAGGCATAGGTTCTTGAATACCTGCTTGGTCATTCAAAGGCTATACGGTACACCCCGCAAAGTCCCTGTTCAGAGTTCATGGCCTCAGTTGTTCCTGGATTTTTCCTTAGAACTTAATGGATAATTGTTCCCAGAAACCCCCACGATTTCGCCAAAACCACAAATATCCTCCGCAATTGTTTATTTGGAGGGAGATTTGCAAGTAGCCAATCCAAGAGCGTTATGGGTTCTCCTTGCTGCTGATTGGCTGCTGCCCTGTAACCCATCTCTGGCCGATTCACCAGCTTCGCCTATCATAACAGGTCCCGGTACGGCATGTAGCCGTCTCTAGCGCTCTCGGTTTTGTTCTTCTTAAACCCCCAAGATCCCTAAGATGCCACCAAAACACCCTGCACCTTCTGAAGCTTTATTAATACAGTATTTTAATAAATTAAATTGCATAACTGTGGGAGACATAGCATATTTAGGGTTTAAACTATAAAAATAGGCGTTTTTCTGACCATAACTGAAATTCTCAGTTTTCCACATTTCGTGGATGCTCTAGGAATATAACCTGCCCAAATTTCTGGGGTCCACTGTATGACCTTGGGGTGCTGACACATCCACTCTGCACATCTGTTTTCCTCATAAGGAAAACATGAGGAAGGCTTCTATCTTCAAGAATAATTGTGAGGCTGGTCTGAGAACAAGTAGACAAATCATCCTCCAAGTATGTGGCATACACAAACTTCTCAGTGTTTAGTTTTTTCACTTCTCAGAATTCATTTCTGTTTCCTCCAGTTTTAGCCCAATGTCTTATAAACCATGTCCTGAACTGTGGCTTAGAAACATGGGTAATATTTATGCTGTTGAATGTGTAGCCTGAGATGAAAAACAAGCATTGCTTATAGACACATTCTAATTCTTTCTTTATATATCCTATAACCAAACTTCTGCATCATTATGGACCCAAGCAATGAAGCCTAGGAAGGCAAATCTAAAAATACTGAAACTAGAAACAAAGGACTCAGCTGAGGAGACCCAGGAGCTTTCCAAGCACCGGGGTTGTGGGGAACCAGTGCGAGCACGGTTACTCTATCTTCTCATTTGTGGCAGATGCAGGTTTGTTTTCCTTTGAGTAGGGCATGATGTGCTCAGAGAATGATGTCAAGTGGAGTAGAAGTTTGGAAACCAAACAGGATGCTGGCCTGGGCTTCTGCAGCTTTTTGGAAATCATAATGACAATCTGATAATAGGAAAATGGTTGCTATTTACAGCTGAAGCTCAAAAATTATGTAAGACTTTGCTTTGACAATTTTTATCTTTAACAGCTCCTTACTACCTCCTACTTATAAGGTGGTGAGGCATCAACAACAGATCAGTTTGGATTTTCCTGCAAAGAAATGGCACTAATTTAATGAGATGTGAAGGAGCTGCCTTCCAAACAAATCTTTGTTGAAAGGCACTTGCATTACATTTGAAACAGGAGTGAAACCAAGCTGAATTTGTGGTGTTGCTTTATAGCACAGTCTCACCCTACTTACAAATTGATCTAAATCAGGTAGATCCGGGTTGTTTGTTTTTGAGTGAGCAGAGCATGGTGAGCAAGCAGGCTAAGCCTGGAACTAAGTAAGAAGCAGGCCTGGACTCCTGCACCTTTTTGGAGCCCAAGACTGCTCCCAGTATATACCTCTCAACTCTTCATGACATAGGTGGATTTATATTTTCAGTATTTATTTTTATTTATATTTATTTTTCAATGAGAATTTTTTCCCTCAAAATAGTAACGTATATTAGCCCTGAAGTGTAGCACTATGAGTTTATATATGCAGGTGTGTCAGGATAGGTGCTCTACATGTTTTCCTAATCCTTGCCATCCCACTTCTTTTAACTCATGGACTTTCTTGCAATTTTTGAGTCACTCTTCTATGATTTTGTTTGTTTCAGTTATCAGTCCAGTGTTGATAAGGGACTATCCCTAAACTGCAATTGAAAAGGTCCCAGAGAGGTGAAGAGATTCATGCAACCCACATATTCAAAAGTAACACAGCTGACTTCAGGGCTGTCTAGGTCTTATTTTCTGACTCATCTGGTGTAGGCCGTGGTAAATAAACACACATGGATTTTCATCTCCGGCGATCTGTCTTCTCTACACGGGCACTAAGCGTCGCCACAACTCCCAGGCTGCTGTCAGCTGTGACACCAGAGGGCGCCATTTCCACTTCCTTCTTTCATCAGCCCCTGCCTATTGCCTTCCTGTTGTCGGGTTGAAGACTGATGAGGAAATCATGGCGGGTATTCTTTCATTTTTCAGTTTAGATGAGATTTTTGCAGAAGTGGAGATGTGTAGAAAGTTAAGGCTTGTAGGATTCCAATTCTCATGACTGTTACCATCATGAAATGAGTATCCCAGAAGAGGATACAGCCTTAGAGACCGTCGTGCTCATTTGCCTCTTGCTGAAGCAGCTGGACTCTCTTCTCTTTGCCTTTCACCTTCACGGGGCAGGAGGAAACTACCGTGGCTTTTGAAGGAGGTTTTGGCAGGTAAGAGAAGCCTTTCTCTGTCGCCAAAGATAGGTACTGTGTTACTGTGCATAGCTCCACAGCTATGTCCAATGCTTAGCATGCAGCTTTCAACGAGATGTGTTTTGGATATGGAGCACTATTTGCAGTGTGGCTTTTTCTGTTTAACAACTTACAATCACTTATATTCATATTTGTATGTGTCTTAGCTACTTGCCTCCTTGCTGGGATGCACTGCCCCACACCTGCAATTTAGAGGAGGAAAGATTTATTGTGGGTCACGGCATTTTAGAAGTTTCAGTCTTGCATGGTCCACAAGGTGGAAGGAACAGGGTGGAGGAGAACTGCTCAAGGCATGGCGGCCAGAGAGAGGGGAGGCGCAGGGGAGGGAGATGCACTCTTTCAGGCCACGCCCACAGAGACCGCCTCTTCCCACCGGGCCTCAGCTCCTACCAGCCAGTCAGCTGTGGTGTAAGACTGATGATGTAGTCACCGTCCCAAGCCCTGCCTGTGAGCTCTGGAAGCTCTCGGGGGCCTCTGCGTGGAAACTATAACAATGGATCTGCAGGGTGAGCGGCACTTGCTGATCCAGAGGAGACGCCCTCGATGAAGTCAGAGGAAAAACAAAACAAGAATCCTTTAAGGGCAGGTGCTGAGAGGTATCTGCTCTCTGGGGCCTTGGGATGTGGACTTCTTGGCAAGAGTGCAGAGAGAGCTATTTATGTTTTCCAAATAGAACACTGTACTCCGTGGACACCACGACAATTCCAAATACCAGCAAAGTTTCAGATCAGAAACATAGAATACATCCAAGAGTAAACTATAGCTAAGGATTTTATGAAGATGATGGAATTCTTTGGTGAACATGCCTTACCCAGCACTCAATAAAGGTAGCAGTGTACTGTCAACACACACTTATTTAATAAAATGTAAAGAACACACAGTAAGTAATAAATGTTAGTGTCATAGTCGTCTTACATCCTGATGATTATAGTTAATAATGTTCTATTGCTTACTTCAAATTTCATGAAACCAGACTTTAAGTGTCACACACACACACACACAGACACACTCACACACACATACAGATAGATGGTAGATGGTAACTGGGTGGAGATGATGTTTTAATTAATTTGTGGTAATCATTACATAATTTATATATATTTATATGCCTTGATTATACACAATTTTTGTCAGTTGTACCCTAATAAGGCCAGAAAAAAGAGCTATATTTCTGATGATCAAAACACATGTGAAAACCCAAGCCCACAGGGACAAGTGTATCTGACTGCATCCTGAGGAGCACAAGTACAGTCATGTGTTGCTCACTGTCCGGGGCTGCATCCGAGAAAGGCTGGTTAGCTGTTTTCATCATTGTGTGACTATCCGAGGGTTACTTACACAAACTTACGTGGTGAGGTCACTCGTTCACCACGGCCTCTTTATACAATCAAGAGACACAATACACGTGAGATGTGTAAGGCTGCCGAGAGTGTGCGATGGTGTATTGTCTTACAAGAAGCCTTTTTCTTCTAAGTGGAAGGAGCACACTGTAGCATGGAGGACAGTGAATACACAAACCAGTAACAGTTGCTTCCCATCGTTATCAAGCACTGTGTGGAAAGCGTTGTCCTCTTACACCGGCAGCGCAGTGGGTGTGTCCACACCAGCACTACCACGAACACGTGGGTATCAGAATACAGCACGACAGTGGGTACAATGACACTAGGGGATAGGACACTCTTGGCTCCATTGTGTGTCACATAGAGGGTCCACCGCTCATGAAAATGTCAGCGACGGGACACTGACGTCCAGTTTTGACGCTTATAAACCTGCCAAGAAAATGTTTTGTGTTCTGATTCGAAGCCTTCGATTCTGTGTCTTGGGCCTCCTCCGTGACGGGCAGGAGCTCATCAAAGATACAGGGTGTGACTTTATTCAGCATCCGTGGATGCAGCTTTTCAGAGCTTAACTCCTCACCTCCAGTGGTGAGCGGGCTTGAAGTGTGCGCATGTGCAGGAACACATGGCATGTGCTGTGGAGCTCTACAATCTCCTGGTGAGAAGGGGCTTGAGGAGGACTTGTAGCCCTGAGAGCCTGACCCTGGGACAAGTGCTCTTCCATCATTCCATCATCTCTAACCCTCCACTGCACCTGATTTTGTCAGAACCTAAGTGGGGTGTGAACCTAGCTGCATCCTGCAGTGGCCAGTCCCATTATGCCTGTCCTAGTTGTCCAGATTACTTTGTTTTTGTCATATTTAGTGGACTTGGATCTCCTTGCCAATGCTTCTCAGGATCCTAATTAATCTTTTTGGGATTAAAATCAGTGATAAAAACTCAGTTTTTGTAGCTAACTCCACTTCAAGTAGGTTCTTGGGGGAGAACATTTGTCCAGGGACTCTGTGCTTTTTACTTTCCTGTCTATCCTGGGTCTCCCCATCGCTAACCAGAAACATCAACAGACCTGCAGACCTGTATTCTTTTTACAATATAATGGGTATAGAGTATAGTGAGTAGACCTGCAGGGTGGGAGATGGAGCCTGAGCAAAACGCAGAGGCTGAGGGCCATAAGAGCATAGAGAACAGCTGTGGCTGGAGACTGGGGAGTCCTAGCCAAGGCACACAGCCCAGAGACAAATCATTCTGATTTCCCACCTCCCTTTGATGTCCTTGTTGACAGCTGATGTGAAATGAACTACCCTGAGCCTAGTTTGTCTGCATCCACTAGATTTGCAGGTGTTTGGCTTGATCCCATTAATAGAAAATTATATAAATGGTCCCTCAGGGCTTCCTCAATGAGGAAGGGGCTCACGGATGATAGAAAACCAGAGTGTCAGAGTGGGTGTAACTTTACAACGATTGGGTTTCCCTCCTGATTTTATCTATTTTTTTATTTTAAAGTTTTTCTTTCTTTTAGACCTCAACTAAAGAGTGTTGAGTTAACCATATTTCCTACTGGTTGAATGTTAGTACTGGTCTCAATGACCTGGTCTTATTGTATTTCTTTTTAGTATTTTCTGCCTTCACAATCTCTCTTTTTTCTTCCTTTCCCAGAATGAGTATGCCAATGTACTTATTAGAAGTTTAAGAATATATGATTCTTTGAAAAGTTATGTTACTCTTTTATATAGGGACTTGTGTTTTAAATTTCACAAATACAAAATACTATATTTTTAGCTCTCTTTCCATGGTATATTTGCGTTATATATTTTTTTCTGACAGCTGCTTAGTAAGTCTTTGAACACGCTCACAATTTTTTATCCATCCACCCACCTACCCACCCATCCATCCACCCACCTGCCTATCTATCCATTCATCCATCCATCCACTCGTTCATCTGTCCATCCACCCATCCACCCACCCACCCATCCATAATGCACACTTAGGATATCAATTTCCCACTTCCATATATAATGCTGAGACTTTGTGGATGTGTGGGGCATTTTCTCTGAGATGTATATGAAAGGGGAGTTTCATTACTTACTTCATCAAATTGCTGTCCATGATGACTCTGTTCATCTATACTTCCGCCTGGAGGTCAGTTTCCTTTCTCCTATAGTCAGGCCAAATTTGGCATTTCTCTCTTCCTAATTCTTTTTACAATATAATGGGTATAGAGTATAGTGAGTAGTTTAATATTATTCTGGATTAAATTTCTCTGTTACTTATTTAAGTATCTCATGATATATCTGTTACTTTTAACATTTCACTTTCTGTGCATTGCCTATTTATATTTTCCCATTTTTCAACTTAGCTCCCCTGACTGAAAAGTCCATAGTCAGAAGGATGTTCTTCTACTTGCTTAGTAGTTTTGTAAGGTTAGGTTTAATCCGTATATGATATGAGGCAGAACTCCAACTTTGGTTTTCATGTTATGAACCATTGTATCTAACCTTATCTTTTAACAGTTCATCGTCCCCCACTGGTTAGTGAGCGCCACCTCAATGACAAACCAATTCTGTGTATTCTTTTGGGTCTGTCTTTGGTTGCCCATTATGTTCTATAGGTTTGTCTTTTCTTTTTCTTTTGTACCACACTTTAACCTATTTCTTTTCCCCCCTGGTACTGGAGATTGAACCAAGAGCCCTCACACAGTGGTAGATCTCCAGCCCTTTTTATTTTATTTTTTATTTTGAGACAAGGTCTTGCTAAGTTGCCCAGGTGAAAATAGAACTTGTCTTATCTCAGTGACAGAATTACAGAGGTGTGCCACCATGCCCAGCCACTTTATCCTATTTCTTTGGCTTCTGATATTTCCTCACAGCTGACCAAATTAGTCTCTTCTCTCTACTTTATTTTAAAAACTGGCAATTGTCCATGTATCCTTACATTTTCATCTAAAGTTTAGAATGGTTTTGTCTGGAATTTTATTGGAATAGAATTAGATTTGCAAATTACTTTGGGAAAATGTAATACATTTATTATGCTAATTAGTCTCATTCCTGGATACCACGTATTGCTATGTCATGTGAATTTTCTTTTAAGTATTTTATAGACTTTCGATGTTTCTCCTAGAGCTCTTGATCAATTTTCTTTTTTTTTTTTTTTTGAGGGGATCGAACTCTGGTCCTTGCGCTTGCGCAGCAAGCAGCGAAACCACTGAGCTAAATCCCTGGCACTTGATCAATTTTCTTAAAGTAACTAAGAAGATTTCTTGCTATTTACAATGCACTTTAATTTTTATTGTATTGTTAAATTGGTTGTTGCTGACAGAGGAAAAATTAGGGTAGGAGAGAAGAAACAAAGAGAGACAGAAAGGAGACAAAGCATGAGTTGGGACTTTGACCTCATCTGGCCTTCTATCCCAGATCCCACAGATTTCCACCAAGACCAGAAATCCCCCAGCCCCGGGATGTAACGGCCTAACCCCTGGGTGCTCCCGCCCTTCTGCCTATGAGGTTCTTTGCTGCTGCTTAATAAATCTTAATAATCTTAATAAATCTGCGTATGCCTCTCCCTGATGCACCCTGAGGTGCTTTTCCGTGATGAAAATCGCCAGCCTTCCTGTGTGTCGGGGCA